GATCATGGGAGTGAAGATACTCATCATAGGCCACAGCCTGTGTCATTTCACCTGGGGCTGTTGGGTTGCAGGAATCAAGCCCCATGGGTGTGGGCTTCGCCTGAGTGAGAGTCCAGCAAGGATGGCAGCTCTGGGAGGGTGGGCCCCCTGCTGGAGTAGGCTGGGGCAGGGGCTCGGATGGGGGGGATGGGCCCCTCCCAATGCAAAAATGGAGGTGAGGGGTCAGTCTAGACAGGCCCTTACCCAGGCTGCTCAGAGGGGATGTGCCCATCGCTGGCCAGCACACGGATGGCAGGACTGTTCTGCAGGGAGATGAGAAGCAGCCTGAGCTGCGGCCACGGCGGGAGAGGGAGGGTGTGGGCGGGAGGGGGGCTGGCAGGCAGGAGACAACTACGCACCTGAGTATCCTCTGCCGAGGAGTCAAAGAAGATCCCGATGCCGTCCCATGAGGCCAGCCCCCCGAGGATAGAGCCTACATGGCCCCTGCCCTGGGTGTACCACACGGCCTGTAGGTCGCCAGCCCCTCAGCTCAGGGAACCGTGTGAGATACTGGGACCCCAGGGCTCATCACCTGCCTCCCTGACCCACCCTGCTCTGTCAGCTCTGGGAGAGGACACTCACCATGCCCTGGGCTCCCCGGCGCCCCAATCCCGTCACCCTCATCTGCACCTCTACTTCCCAGGCAGAGAAGAGGACAGAGGCCCTGCTCCACACGGCGCCACTGCGGTTCCTCATGGATGGCGTCAGCCGCACTTCCTCCAGGCCCAGGATGGCGTCTGTGGACCAGGGCAGTTCAAGCCCCAGGCCCCACTATACCCCAGTTCCCCCTTCACTCTCTCTCACCGGCCTGGGCTGGGCTCCCGGAAGAGGAAGAGACAACGCCAAGGCCTGCCATTAAATAACCAGCCAGCCAGGGAAGCAGGAGTCAGAGCCCAGCACAGCTGGAGGGGCCTTTGCCGGGGAGGGCAATGAATGCCAGCACTGTCCGCGTCGTCAGTGAAGCCTCACTGCAGTGTGTGTTGTCTGTTTTTATAAGACCCCATCCAACAGATGAGGAAACTGAGGCTCAGAAAAGTTAAGGAACTAAGTGGATTGGATGGAATTCAGCTCCCTATGACTCCTAAGTGCAAGCTTTTTCCACCACGAGAGAGATTTGTGTCTAACTCTTCCCATTTCTCAGATAAGGAAACTGAGGCCTTGTGACAAAAAAGGAAGTGCCTGAGACCACAGAACACAGGAGAGCACTTTAGGAGAAGTAACTGCAAGGAGGCCCAGGACTCTAGGCTGTGGCCACATGAGGCCGGAGCTTCCTGGTGGACAGGACCTAGGGGCATTCCAAGGTGAGGAAAGCAGGAAAGCAAAGTTGCGGAGGTGAGAACCGGCCTGCAGAATGGCGATGAAAGAGTGCAGGACGGAGTGTGTGTGTGAGAATTGTAACTGGCGGTGGTGGGGTGGGGAGGAAGGAACCCTGCATGGTAGGACGGAGGAATGGGAGAGAAACTGAGGCAGTCTTGGCAAGAACTGGGGGCAGGGAACTCAGAGGCCCTACTCCAGCGCGCTCCCCACCCTCCAACCTGCCAGCCTGGAACCTGGCCCAGGGCCCAGACTCTGCCAGGACGTTCTGGAGGCTGCTAATCCCGTCTGTTTGCTCTATAAAGGCCAGGGATGGGGGTAGGGAGGCTCAGAGCTGCAAGGCCACAAGTCCCAGGGCCTCTGGAAGCTGTCACTGCCTCTGAAATCCTTGCAAGAGGCAAGGATTGCCCACTGTCTACTATGCTTTCAGCCTTACGAGGCCTGTGGGTGAGACCTTGCCCCAGACCATGGGCTCCTTCAGCCTGGCTCTACCCTGTGTCTCTGGGCTGGGAACAGAGGAGCATCAGGGTGAACCAATGAATGCATAGACAATGCACACATCACTGGGTGATCTTGGAGAAGGTGCCTCTGTTCCCTTACATGATCTGTGACACCCAGACTTGGCAAGGCCCAGAGCAGTGAGCGTTGTATAAGCTTGCCATCCTCGTCTTGAGGCAGGGGCCGGTATGGTGTTGTGAGAAACAGCCCACTTTTTTTGTTACCTCCTGTGTCTTTATGAAAGAGGACTGAAGGCCGGGCGCAGTGGCTCACGTCTGTAATCCCAGTACTTTGGGAGGCCAAGGCGGGCGGATCATGAGGTCAGGAGATCGAGACCATCCTGGCTAACACGGTGAAACCCCGTCTCTACTAAAAATACAAAAAATTAGCCGGGCGTGGTGGCGGGCGCCTGTAGTCCCAGCTACTTGGGAGGCTGAGGCAGGAGAATGGCATGAACCTGGGAGGCGGAGCTTGCAGTGAGCCGAGATCGTGCCCCTGCACTCCAGCCTGGGCGACAGAGCGAGACTCCGTCTCAAAAAAAAAAAAAAGAAAGAGGACTGGAAGAAACCCTACTGATAGGGCCTATCATCTTAAAGGGATATATTTTGGGCTGGGCGCAGTGGCTCACGCCTATAATCCCAGCACTTTGGGAGGCCGAGGCAGGCGGATCATCTGAGGTCAGGAGTTCGAGACCAGCCTGGCCAACATGGTGAAACCCCGTCTCTACTGAAAATACAAAAATTAGCTGCGTGTGGTGGCACGCACCTGTAATCCCAGCTACTCAGGAGGCTGAGGCAGGATAATCACTTGAATCCGGGAGGTGGAGGTTGCAGTGAGCAGAGATCACACCATTGCACTCCAGCCTGGGCAACAAGAGTGAAATTCCATCTCAAAAAAAAATAAATAAATAAAAAGGGGTATTTTTTCCTGGCCTTAGTCAGGAATCATGCCATTTCTCAGAGCTAACTTTTTTTTTTTTTTTTTTTTTTGAGACAGAGTCTGGTTCTGTGGTGCCCAGGTTGGAGTGCAATGGCAGGATCTCGGGTTCAAGCAATTCTCCTGCCGCAGCCTCCCGCGGAGCTGGGACTACAGGTGCGTGTCACCACGCCCAGCTAATTTTTGTATTTTTAGTAGAGACGGGGTTTCACCATTTTGGCCAGGATGGTTTCAATCTCTTAACCTCTTGATCCACCTGCCTCGGCCTCCCAAAGTGCTGGGATTACAGGTGTGAGCCACTGTGCCTAGCCAAGAACTCACATCTTATAGACAGAAATCCACAGCTGATCTGCTTTCTATCTTTGCTTTGCCTGCTAAGAGGCTCAGAATTAAATTTATGGCCTAACTCTGAGGTGGACAGACCTCACAGCGTATGTGTTGGAAGCCATGCTCCTAGACTATTTCATGCTCCACTCTAATCCTCATTGTCCTTGCTCACTCCTAATGTAAGCAAGCTCCCTTCTATCTTGTAGTTCCATCATCACAAATCCTTTTTGGAACAAGATCTGGTAGAAGACACACTCTTTGTAGGTCCAGGTTTGGAAGTCCCTGAACACAAACCTATGGGCTAAGATGCTCTCATGCCTGCTTCCACCCACAACACACATACAGTGAAAGGCTGGTGCCCACTCGCCTGGAATGAGGATGCCTCCCTCCAGGTAGCCCCCAGTTCTCATGGCCAGCCACAGGCCTGCTGGGATGGAGCCAGGAGAGTGGAGGTTTGTGCTGGTCCACATTGCCTTCTGTGTGTCTGGGACAGTGTGTGAGCATGTGTCTGTGTGTTCACAGGTCAGAGAGACAGAGGAAGGGCAGGGATCCAAGGAGAGGCAGAGGAGAAGAGAGAAGTCCTGGCGCAGGGAAGCAGAGAGGTAGAGGAGAAACAGCTTGGGCAGGGTTCGGGGGTGTTGAGGGGGTGGAGCAGGAGACAAGCCTGGGAAGGGTCGTGGGGTGCCTGGCACTGTCCCAGGCCCTACCCCACCCTGGACAGAGGATGGCTGTGACAGACCCACTCCCCACCAAGTCACAGCCCCTCCAGCACTTTGAGGGACCCTGGGCATGGCTGGTCCCCATCCCTGCCCCTCACCTCCATGATGGCTCCAGAAGGGTATTCCAGCCCCAGGCAATGCCAGCCTTGGGCCTTTGAAGCTGAGCTTGTATTCAAACCTGCGCAGAGGAGGACATGCCGTCTCAGGACTGTGGGGTTCCAGGAGCAGGAGGAGAAGGCAGAACGAGGGACCTGGACCATTGACCACCGGCATTGTGAAGGCGCCTGATGTCTGGGCCCTGGGGTAGATCATAGCTGAGAGGCCGGGGAGGGGATCCTGGGATAGGGCCAGGCAGGGAGGAGCTGGGGACTGGCCAGGAGCTGGGTTTTGGCACTGTCCTCTCTCTCCCTCTCCAGCATAGACATCCTGTTCCTTCCAGGCCTGCTGTCAGGCCCCGCCCCTCCCTCACCTCCAGTCTGATGTGAGCAGCGGGACCCCTCGACAACCCGAGCTCTGCCCCTGCTTCTGACTCAGGCCGTCTTTCTATCTCCCCTCACATCCAGCAACTGGATGTGGTGGAGGGAGGGGGGCACCCAGGGTTGGGCTCCACCCTTCAGCAGCCCTGGCCTCCCCTCCCAGTTAGGGAGACAGGCCTCCACATCCTGCCTGTGTCCCCCAGCATGGGTGGCATGTCTATCTGGACACCCATCCTTCTCTCCTCCCTGCCCCCTCTCTTCCTCGCCCTCATTCCCCCAGGCTCATCCTTCCAGGCAGCCTGGTTTCCTCAACAAATGCATTACATGAAAAAAAGAAAGGGAGTCTTTAGAGACAGCACAAAAACGCAACGTGCAGACCTTGTTTGGAGCCAAATTTTAACCCAACTGGGGAAACAAAAAAAAAAGATATTGGGGAAATTTGAACAATGGATATTTTTGAACAATGGATATTTGACTATACTGAAGAATTGTTAACAAATTTTAGGACCGGGCACCGTGGCTCATGTCTGTAATCCTAGCACTTTGGGAACCCAAGGTGGGTGGATCACCTGAGGTCAGGAGTTCAAGACCAGCC